GTTTGTGGCTGGAGCCTGGGATTATGGAGGCTGCATGAGAGGAGGGAGGACACGGGGACGGCGAACATATGAGAAGAGGCACCGACCCAGCATAGGGTGGGCACCCGCTGCTTGCCTGAGAAGGTCATTGGGAGCAACTTGGGGAGTTGTGAGGGCCGAGTGATACCAGGTTGGGGCAGATCTGTGGGGGCAGAGAGCTAAGTCAACGTCAGGTTCCATGGGGACTCAGCACCCGACACCCTCTCCCCGCCCCACCAAAGACATCCATGCTGGCCGCCATTCGTTCAGTGACATTAGCTGAGCCTGATGAGCAGGAATGATGATATTCAACAATTCTGGTCACGTCATTTTCCTGAGAATGGCAGACCAGTTAAAGGGAGGGTCCTAGGGGCAGTTCAGACACCCAGGGTGCGTTTCGTGTCTAGGAAAGAAACACTCTGCACAGAGACGAGCAGGTGACCTGCAGCCTGCAGGTGAGCAGGTAGGGCGTGCCGTGGTGCTGAGCTGGAATTAAGGAGACAGGTCACATAACTAGATGTGTTAAACACATGTGTGAAATAAATGTGTTGGAATCCACCGTCTCCGTTTTAATGACGATGACATTGGACCACATGGGTGAAGACAAGCAGGCTACAAATCATGGACTTCCGCCCAACTGAAGTGTCCTGTGGTGCAACCTGGGACCACTTTCATGACCCCAGGGGACGTCCATGGATCTTGCTTTCTGAGGTGACAACATATTCCACCTCCTCATGTCCCTCCACTCCACCAATCCTGGGACCAGCCACCGCACATGCTTCTCTTTAGTGGCATTGCACAGCCGCAGCCAGGAACCAGGCTCAAGGGTCACCTTGGAATAGGCAACTATGGCCACCACATTTCTGGCCACCTGACATGACACAGGATGGAAGGGACACAGGGCATGCTCCCAGGTCACCCTGAAGGATGAGGATGCCATTTCCCACAGGGACCAGCCAGGCCTCCCTGGCCAGGCCCATGGCAACCAGGACAACCCAGGGAAGGTGGGGTGACACCCCTGGAGTCAGGGCCAGAGTCATAGGAAGGTTCCAGGACACCACACTCCAGGGAAACATGCCCTTCCCTCGGGGGAGGAGGACACCATGTGTCACCCAGTGGTCGCGCCACAGGAACAGTGATGTGTCGTGTGTGCTGAAGGTAGACCACCTGTCCCTTTTCCTGTAATCACTCCTTAGGTACACACATGCCCTCTAATGAACTTGTTCCTGTTTCTGCCAGATAGCCCTTGGGACAAGCCAACCCAAGACACCAACTTCTTTCAGGAACATTGGTCCCAGTGATTCTGCTACTGGTCACAGAGTGTCACCTGTCCTGTTAGCTGCCAGAGAGACGGTGGAAGCCATGTGGTCCCCCTGCTGAGCAGATGCCACCTGGGTCAGTGACCCAGCTTCCTCCCTCACAGCTGCAGCTGGGGGCTGGCACTGGGGCTGGGGGGTCTCAGGGAGGGTTTTTGTTCGAGCTTGTGTCACAGTGTTATGTATTCGGCGGTGGAACCAAGCTGACCGTCCTAGGTGAGTGTCTTCTTCCCTCTCCTTCCCTGCTCTCCTCAAGGTTTTAGGTACTTTTGTGCTGTTTTTGCTGTTTTCTCTGATCTTGTCTCGGCCTGGGGTGAAGTTTCAATCTGTACCCAGCCCTGGGGTGAGCACAGCCCCCATTTCTGCTAAGACCCCAGCACGCCTCACCCCTTCCCCTCTCACCCAGAGCCAGGGTGCTGGCCCTGGTGACCTACTCAGACTCAGTTGTCTCTCTGTCTATCTGTCTGGGTCCCTGTCTGCATTCCAGTCTGTCTCTCCAAATAGGTTGGGTCCCTGGGACTTGTCCTGTTCTGTCTCTCCTGTCCTAGTCCATGTCAGAAGAGCTTTGTCTGTGGGCACATTGGGGACTCATCTCAAGGGGATGAGCAGAGAGGGTACCTGCATGGAGTGACCACCTGGGAGTCTTTAGAATGATCCGGAACCCTCAGGGCTGAGGCTGGAGAACCAGAGCTTTGAGCTCAGGGCCGGGTCCCCTGGGCTGTGTGACTCAGGGTCAAGGCCAGGAAGACAGGAGGTGGGGACTGCCAGGGCCTCAAGGCTGACACGGCAGAGCTCTGAGTCAGCCTGGGACTCAGGGAAGCCCCAGGAGGGAGCACGAAAGGACATGCTGTGTGCAGGGGGAAGGGTAAGGTCCCCACAGGGGAGGGGGGAGGGGAAAGTGGGTCCCTGGGGCTCCTCGGGACACAAGGGCTCCCACCCCTGAGTCCCAGAGACAGAGGACAGTTCACAGTGAGAAACCTCTGCTGCTGTGACCAGGTGCCATGGGGGTGACACCAGCACAGCCTGTGGAGTGAGAGACACTCAGGAACAGCAGACAGGCTCCCTCTGTGCTCCCCGCCCCGGCTCTGACCCCATAGAAAGTCCCCAGGACTCAAAGCTGGGCACAGCAGGCTTAAGGGCAAAGGATCCAGAGTCCCTCAGAGAGAAGAGTCAGGTCACAGTTGTCCCCTACCTGCCCCAAGGGAGAGTCTAACCCTCAGGTCATGTGCTCAGGGGACAGACAAGTCCTTGAAGGCCCGTCCGGGTGGCAGGAGCAGCCGGAGGACGTACAGGGCCGGCTGTCTGGGAGGGAGGCCAAGGCCCAGGGAGGGCTCAGGACAGGGACGGGCAGCCCCAGGCTCTGGGGTTCCCGGGACAGACAAGGAGATCCTGAAAACAGCCTGACCTACCTCCTGATGTAGACCCCCACCCCCAGCCCCTGCACCAGGTGCCCTGACCTGGGCTTGGTGACCAGAGTGACTCCTCACACCCTGGGGTCAGGGGCTCCCCAGGTGGACACAGGACTCTGACCTCTGCCCTTCCCCACCTCACAGGTCAGCCCAAGGCCGCCCCCTCGGTCACTCTGTTCCCGCCCTCCTCTGAGGAGCTCCAAGCCAACAAGGCCACACTGGTGTGTCTGATGAGTGACTTCTACCCGGGCGCCGTCAGCGTGGCCTGGAAGGCAGACGGCAGCGCCGTCACCCAGGGCGTGGAGACCACCCAGGCCTCGAAACAGAGCAACGGCAAGTACGCGGCCAGCAGCTACCTGAGCCTGTCCCCCGCCCAGTGGAAAGCTGGCGGCAGGTTCAGCTGCCAGGTCACGCACGAAGGCAGCACCGTGGAGAAGACAGTGGCCCCTGCAGAGTGTGCTTAGGCCCCGGCCCCACCGCCCTCGGGGCCTGGAGCTGCAGGGGCCCAGGGGAGGGGCCTCCCCTCCCTCCCAGCTCATCCCCCCCCTGCCCTGCACCCGATGAACCCTCAATAAATATCGTTGTTATCAGTCAGAAAACGTGGTCTCTGCTTATTTTTATTCATACATTTTCCTTCTTAAACTGGACCAATGTGAATGACAAACAGAATCCTTCGACCTTGTGACCCAGCAGCCATTGAAAGCTCCTGCAGTTTCACTGTGGGATACATTTACTATCATCCTAACCCCCATGGAATGTTCCAGAAGGAGCAAATCACCCTCAGAAGGAACCCAGGTCTGTTCTGTCTTACCCACCTCTCCCCTGTGCTTCCTGCTGCCCTGTGGATATGTCAACCTCTGGCAGCCCAGGGACAAGCTCCCCCTCCATGCCCTTGCCCTCCAGGAGAAGGTCTGAGCCTCCGCTGCTGCTTCCCTGGGTCCTACTGCCTGGACAGCCTTGCTCTGTCACTGTGTGCTTCCATCTCCCACTCCCGGCCACGGCCTTGCTGTGTCCCTTCGCCACCTGAGCTCCCCTCTCAGCTTAGAGCATCCCCTCTTCCTCAGGGGCCACCCGGCACCTGCCTCCCCAGGGATCCTGCCCTCTGCCTATGCCCCCTCCCTGCACTGGACCCTCGCCCTGGGCCCTGGTCACTCACCCACACACTCCTGGGTGCCTCTTGTCTCCCACATGTCACTGGGTATTTGGCTCTAGTCAAGGCCCCTGGGGGACAGGGCTAAGCTCTGCTCCCCAGTAACCCCAATGTAGGTACCTAATGTCACAGTGTCCCCAGGTTTTCAATGGGCTGGTGAGTTCAAAGTCAAGAGTCAGATTCTGGGGTTCTGCCATGTGTTGGTGTAAGCTGGCTCCTTGCTTAAGACTTCAGAGTGAGATCTGAGCCATGACACACACACGCAGACACACGCACACAAACACTCAAGTCCATGTTGGGCATCTCTGTGAGAGGATTGGGAAGGGCCCAGGTGGGAGGTGCTGCAGAGACGCCCAGGTTGGGACATGAGCAAACAAAACCCAGAGCCCTTCAGTCCCCAGGCTCTGGGGCTCCGGGGCCAGACACTGACATGGCGAAAGGGCAGGATTTCCCATCCGGGCCAAGAGGGAGACAGGACACCAGAGGAGGCTCACAGGAGAAGGCCTGGTTGGGGAGCAGCAGGTGGATCTCAGAGTCAGCAGAGTCACTTGCTATGGGGAGTGCAGGGTGCCAAGTGCATGTCACAGGTGTGAGCTCTGTGGGTGATGAGCCGGGACCAGGATGCATGTCCAGGCCCTGTGTGCCCAAGGCCAGCTCTGCAGAAGGCCATCCCGTGTGGGGTGCTGTGTGCGTCCGCAGGCTGTGGGCGCCCCCTGTGCTAGGCACGCACGTGAGCACAGGTTGGCTGGTGCACCCGTGCACGCAGAGACTACAGAGCACCTGTGGAGCTCAAGGGGAAAGCAGAGACCCCCACACAGAGCTCAGGGGGGGACTGAGCTCATGGGACGTGGGACCTAGATCCCCCCACAATGAAGAGCTCCCCTCTGGGCCGCTCCAGCTGTTCCAGCACATGCAGCCCTGCAGAGGGGCAGCCGTCCCATGGGTTCAGGATGCGGACTCGCACCTTCAGGACAGCCAAGGCAAGGACGGGGACGCTGGAGCTCAAACTTGCAGTGGGGTCTGTTTTCCTGGGGGAAACGGAATCCTCCCACCAGCCCCAGGTCCCATTCCAAGCCCCACCAGCCACAACCCCTGCACCAAGGCTGTGGGGGTATCTAGGACCCTCCCCATGATTCCCAGCTCCTTGAAGGGGTCCCAGTGCCCCCATCTCAGTGTTGTCACCAGGCCTCTCCCCTCCTCCTCACTGGCGTTCCTGACACCTGCTGAGCCGGCCACATAGCTCTTCCTGGTCATGCAAGTAGCTGCGAGTAGCTGGGAAACGACCTCCACGCACAGCCCTCCAACCCCCCCACCATGACCAGGGTGGGTGCACTCCAAAGCCCTGAAGGAGGCGAAGTTCGAGTCGGTGGGAGCAGCCCCCCTTCCCCGCATGGCTCCACCAGCCCATGTGAGAAGGAGGCTGGACCCTGGGCCTCGCGAGCAGCTGCAGGTGGGCCAGGACCGGGGTGTCGGGGTGGGGGCAGTTCTTGTGCAGAGCCGTGTCAAGGTGTTATGTGTTCAGCAGAGCCACCCAAGTGACCATCATTGGTGAATCTCTCTGTTTCTCTCCTCTTTGGGGTGTGGGTGAAACGCGGGGAGATTTTTCTGTCCTTTCTGCTCTCCCTAGGGCAGGGACCTGAGTGTCTCTGGGGTCTGCAGCTTTCCGACTTTTGTCTGGCCTTCGCCCTGCCCACCCATCCACACTTCTCGGGCACCTGCCGGGGCCAGAGGGGAAGATCCCAGTGGGCCCTCCTGCTCCCTGCTGGGGCCAGAGTGTGCCCCCTCGCTCCAGGGGCAGTCTCCCCTGGACTCTGGGACACCCAGTCCCTCCCTCAGAGTGTCTGTGCCCCAGGGACCTGCAGAACAGGGGTCTCAGACTGGGGCACCAGGGCCGTGGGTGTGGGAAGGGTGCTGGGGACAGCTGGCCCCCTGGAGTTGCGTCCTCTGAGGCTCCCAGCTGCGCGGCTGCCTTAAACCGCGAGAGGGGAGGCCTTTGGCTGGGGCCTTGGAGACAGGGAGTGGGAAATGGGAGGGGGACAAGCATGGGGGAGGAATGTCCTGTGAGAAGGCACCCCAGGGAGCTGGGTCCCTCCTCCTTTCCCAGGACAGGCAGGTTGCTGTGGACAGGGTGGGTCTCAGGACTCTAAGACCCACAGGTCGAGCACCCCTCCCCCATCCCACCAAAGGGGAGAGCCCCAGAGCGTGTGCTGGGGTAGGGCTCCTGGGAGGCACCAGTGGTGGGACCTGTGGAGGCAGAAAGATGCCCTAGGATAGCTAGATGTCTTGTATAACTTCCACGACAGGGAGACCTCTTAGAACAGAGACAGCCCCAGCCTCAGAACAAGAAATGCACTTGCGTGGACACCCTCCATCTCCCAGACTCCCCAGGACAGCCCCTGGGACTGACACCCCTCCCAGAGAGGCTGCCCAGAGGGGAGGGGGGGTGGGGGCTGCAGTGACGGTGACAGGGGCACGTGGGCAAGAAACACTCCCTGAGAGGGAGGAGACCCTCAAACAGGACACACAGACACCGTCCTGAACAGATCTGTAGGGGACCCGGCAGGAGGTGTCTAGACAGAGAGGCTCCCTGAGGACGGAGGAGGTCCCGGGGCTTATCTCAGCCAGTGTCGGGGAGCCAGGGTGGGGTGAGGGGGCATAACGAGAGGAGTGAACCCATAGAAGAGGCTGGAGCCAAATGGAGACCTGACCCTCCTCAGTCCTCACTTAGGAGCCACCCAGAGGTGAGTGTCCACACCGCTGACCTGGCCTCAGTCTGGCAAGGGCCCGGCCTGACATCACTGCCCCAGGCCCGGGTCCTGAACCCCTGGTCAACACTGAGGTCAGGGGCTCCCAGATGGACACAGGCCTCTGACTTTTGTGCCTTCCCCACACCACAGGTGGACCTAAGGCTGCCCCCTCTGAGGAGCTCCAAGCCAACAAGGCCACACTGGTGTGTCTGATGAGTGACTTCTACCCGGGCGCCGTCAGCGTGGCCTGGAAGGCAGACGGCAGCGCCGTCACCCAGGGCGTGGAGACCACCCAGGCCTGAACGGACCAGAAACGGCAAGTACGCGGGCCAGCAGCTACCTGAGCCGCTGTCCCCGCCCAGTGGAAAGCTGGCGGGCAGGTTCAGCTGCAGGTCACGCACGAAGCAGCACCGTTAGGAGAAGACAGTGCGCCCTGGGAGAGTGTGCTTAGGCCCGCCGGACCCAACCGCCCTCGGGCGCTGGAGCTCTGGCAGGGCCGCAGGGGGAGGCCTCCCCTCTCCCGCTCATCCCCCTGCCCCTGCACCAGATGAACCCCTCCCAACTAAATATCCTCCTGTCAATCAGAAATCCTGCTCCATCCTGCATTCACTTCTCCTAATCATGTTTGATTTTGACACTGCCCTTTGGCTCTCAGGTGGGGGGTTGGGGATCTGGCACCAGTGGAGAAACCAGCTCACGGGAAGAGGCTCAAGTCTCGCCCAGAAAAACACTCCAGGACCGAGGAGCTGGTTTGTCTGAGGTCCATGCCTCTGCCCCTTTCCTCCTCCCCTCTCCTCCTTCCGCGCAGGGAGCCACCTCCTATCTCCTTCCTGGACAGAGCCGCCCCGCTGTGCGTGGCCGCGGCCTCCAGTTACACTTACTCCTCCCTGCCCAGGTGCGGACCCCGTATAGCGTACTCACTGCGTCTCCCTCTTCCTTCGCCTGCGCGACTTGCTTCTGGGCCGCCCCTGCACCCCAGCCCTTGCCCCCTGGAGCCCTCCTTCCTCTGCCACAGCTCGGCTCTGCCACGCTCCCACCCGTCCGTCTCTCCTCACTCCCGAGAGCCGGGCTGTCCGAGGACACTCCAGCGCTCCATTTCACAAGCCTCTTAAATTTGGGGCCCCACTCGGATTTTTTCCCCAAGTGGCAGGTTTCGAGCAGGTGTAAGAGACAGGAGAAGCCAGGAAGGAAGCAGGAA